CAAATCCCCCAACAGACATGGCCCCCTGTGAGCGAAGGTGAGTCAACAAGAGACCCCAGGGGACTGGATGATGGGAGGACACATGGTGGGGGGGGGACCAGACCAACTGGGGGAGCCATCAGGGCCCAGCTCCTTTCCCTGGCACTGTCCCTGCAGACAGATGGGTCACAAGAGCTTGGGAATTTGCTCAGGTGGCAGGAATAGTCTAAGCATGGACCCTGGAGCCACACGCTGTGTGACCTTGGGCAAGTCACTTAACTTCTCTGAGCCTCAGTTTTCATTAGTATAAAAGGAGAGTAATGATAGAATCTGCTTGATTGGGATATTGTATTACATACTTTAATCCATATAAAGTCCTTAAAATAGCACTTGATGCATGGTAAGCCCTCAATAGCTGTCATATTGATAGTAATAATATTTTTTGGTGTAAGGTCAGTGGCAGTACAAGTATAGGACCTGGCTTTAAGCCCTTCTCTACCACTGATGTGCTGTGTGACTCAGGATAAATTTCTTAAACTCTCTGATCCCCAGTTTTAGTTTTCTCAATTATGAAAAGTGATTAATAATATGTGCTTTACAGGACTCCAATGGGAATTCAAATGAGGTCATGTTAAGAGAGTGACTATTATTAGTAGTGATATTTATCTTACTGTTAAGTATAAGCATTTTAGCGATATAATAATTTTATGATCTTACTATTAAGCCGTTTAGAGGGAGAAAGATGAGGCAGTCGGCTTCCAGAATGAGTTACAGTCTTGGAAACCCTATGGGGCAGTTGTACTCTGTCCTGTAGGGGTGCTAGGAGTCGGAATGGACTCAGTGGCAATGGGTTTGGTACTTTAGTTTGGTGATGCTGTATTAAGCGCTTGGCTTCCAACCAAAGGTTGGCAGTTCAAACCCACCAGCTGCTTTGCAGGAGAAAAATGGAGCAGTCTAATTCCGTAAGAATTTACAACCTTGGGAACCCTATGGGGCAGCTCTACCCTGTCCTATAGGGTCACTATGAAACCAAAAACTCACTGCCATCAAGTTGATTCTGACTCATAGCAACCCCCATTGGGTTTCCGAGGCTGTAACTCTTTACGGAAGCAGATCACCCCATCTGCCTTCCATGGAGCGCCTGGTGGGTTTGAACCACTGACCTTCTGGTTAGCGGCCAGCTGCCTTATCTGCTACATCACCAGAGCTCCTTAGGATACTATGAGTTGTAATCAACTCAACGGCAATGGGTTTGGTTGGTTTAGTTTTAATATCATGCAGTAATATTGGTTGGTATGTGCCGTCGAGTCGGACCTGACTCATAGCGACCCCTCCTTGGATTTCCGAGGTGGTATCACTACGGAAGTAGATCGCCCCATCTTCCTTCTGAGGAGTGGCTGGTGGGTTTGAACCGCCAGCCTTCTGGTTAGCAGGCAAGTGCCTTAAGCACTATGCTACCAGAGCTCTAGTACTAATTGCTAGTGACATTAGGAATGTTGTTAGGTACCTTCAAGTTGGTTCCTACTCAGAACAGAACACTACCCAGTCCTGCGCCATCCTCACAATTGGTACTATATTTGAGCCCATTTTTGCCGCCACTGTCCCAGTCCATCTCATTGAGGGTCTTCCTTTTTTTGCCTGATCCTTAACTTTACCAGGCATGATGCCCTTCTCCAGGGAGTGGTCTCTCCTGACAGCATGTCCAGAGTACGTGAGACAGCTGTCCTCCTCCCTTTCAGGGAGCATTCTGGCTGCACTTCCTCCAAGACAGATTTGTTCATTCTCTGGCTGCCCATGGTACACAGCATTCAGTATTCTTCACCAACATCATAATTCAAAGGCATCACTCCTTCCGTCTGCCTTATTCATTGTCCAGCTTTCACACGCATATGAGGCGATTGAAGATCCCCTGGCTTGGGTCAGGCGCACCTGAGTCCTCAAAGTAATGACATCAGTAGTATTATTAATACTAAATACTAACAGTGTTTAGTAGCAGTGTTACTTCCTGCTTTAGAAGTGTCCAGATGGACAGGAGAAACTACTAAATGCCAAGACTCCAATTGCAACAGGAGTTTTCTTAAAATCTTAGAAATTCAAGTCTGTCATGGTGGTAGGAGCACAGATTGTGGAGTCAGAACTGAGTTCAGTTGTGTGGCTTTGGTCAACTGACTTACCCTCTCTGAGTCTCAATTTCTCTTTCCGTATACGGTGATGACGGTAGTACTCACCTCACAGGGTAGTGGGAAGAATTCAGTAAGACAGGCACGCCAAACGCCAGGCACATGATCATTGCTGGATAAATGGGCAATGCCCTGATGTTATATTCACAGCTCAGGAAAGTGGAGCCCAGAGTGGGCAAGCAAGGGCTCTGA